ATTGCATTTTAATCTAATATTATCAAATATTAAAATGCAATAAAAATTAAAATTTTAATAAAAAATGCTCAGAGTCCTATTTTTCTAGCAAATCTCCTATATGACTTAATTTAAGCTGGTATTATAAATTATAATTTTCATAATAGATAATTCTTATTACTAGGGTTTTCTCAAAATCAAATTGAATCAAATATTTAAGAAATTTGAATTTGATTTGATTTTTTTAAATTGAATTAAATTGAATCGAATTGAACTCAAATATTTGATCAAATTAATTTGAATTAATTTGGATTAGATTGAATCAAATCAAATCAAATCAAATCAGATCAAATTAAATCAAATATAAAAAAAATTTAATTTTTATAATGATATATTAAAATAAAATTATTCTAAGGATTTTAATTAAGAAAATTATTAGTAATTACACTAAAAAAATTCAAAGATAACTTTTACAAAGTAAGTTTAGTAACAGGTAATTTTTACTATTAAACTTAGTAAAATAATACTTCAATCTCAGTTTTACTAAGAAACTTAGTAATAACTGCTATTGCAGTTTCAGTTTACTAAGAAATCTTAGTAATAACTATCATTATAACTTCAGTTTTACTAAGAAAACTTAGTAATAACCGCTATTGCCACTTCAGTTTTACTAAGAAAACTTAGTAATAATCACTATCACAGCTTCATATTAGTAAAAAATGTTTCTAAAGTTACGGACGTATTTTTTACTAGATTTCTTAGTAAAAAATATTTCTAAAGCTGTAAAATCATTTTTTATTATATTTTCTTAGTAAAATAATGTCTATGAAGCTGTGAAGGCATTTTTACTATGTTTTTCTTAGTAAAAAAGGCATTTTTGAAGTTGTGGAGACACTTTTTACTATGATTTCTTAGTAAAAAAAAACATTTTTAAGCTGTAAAAATGTTTTTACTATAGTTTTCTTAATAAGAGTTGCTCCTGAAACTTTGGAGATGGCTTTACTATTGATTTGAATTTGATCAAATCAAATCAAACATTAATTTGGATTTGATCAAATAAATCATTTTTTGATTTTGAATTTGATTGAATCAAATCAAATATAAATTTGTATTTGTATTTGATTTCATTTTCAAATTAAATATTCAAATATCAAATCGAATTGCAAAACCCTACTTATTATACAAAATCTTAAAATATCAATTTTTAGATTTAAAATATAAGAAGCAATTAGTAAAAAAAGGTGAAATCTAAAATTTTTTGCTAATTTTAATTATTAAGCTAATTTTATTTATATAACTAAGATCAGAAATTTTGATTAAAATTTGGATTTCTTTCTTTCTTTTCTACTGATTATCTTTTATATGTTACCCAAATATTTATTACTTTTGTGTAATATTATACAATCCAATTAAGGTGAATTGGTATTTCATAATATCAACTAAAATTATATAAATCACATAATTTTTATATGATAATATGATATAGTATTATATAACATTATGATCATATGGTTTAAAAATTTTTAATATGATTATATTATTTACCAAAACTTATACTTATTATCTAAACCCAAATCTTTAGAATTTGTCTAATGGAAATACCAAAACAAATAGATTTCTAATAATACCTAAAATACTATAATAAAAAATTTGAAAAAATTAGGTTTAGACAGTCATAATCAGACAAAATTCAAATATGAATAAAACTAAAAGCCTTGAAATTTTAGAAAAATTAGAATCAAAGTAAAGTTTAGATAAGGTTAATAATTAAAAGAATGATAATCCTTTTATTAGAAAAATGAGTAACACTCTAGAAAAAAAACTATTAATTTTAATCTCTATATGAATTGAATTTTCAGATTGAAATTCAAAACTATTTTATTGCAATCACTATTTTTTTTATATAAATATTTATTTATTTTATATTTGAATTATACTATTATTCGAAAAAAAAAGTCAATCAAAAAAATAATAAAAAACATTTGATTTTAACTTTTTGAATGCTTATAATAAATAAATAAATTAAAAAAAAAAAAACTTTTTTTATTATCACCAAATTTGCAAATAAACATAATTTCAAAGGAGTTTACTAATTTAACTTCCAGACTCTGATTGACTGGTATAATTAGGGTTAGGATTAATACCGGTAGTGTTTCAATTTTATTAAGTATCTGGATGGTGATTTATTTGTCATCCTTTAAGTATGACTTTTTAATTGAACATATTAATAAGTTCTTTTACCTGTTATAATTAAGCTTATATTAAAAAAGAGGCAGATAATTTTTATTGTATTTTATTAACATACTATATAGTATTATTTTAATATAGAAATAATAGGATTGTAATTGTTATAAATTTTGTAATTTTAATAAAATTTATAATAAAAATTATAAATAAATATGGATTTGTCTATTTTGGGTTGGGATTTGTCTGGGTTTGACCTATTTGTTTGAAGTTTGGGATTATGGCCATCCAAAATTAGTTTTTCCAGTTTTGGCTTTGAGATTTGGGTGGGTTTGGGTTTGGGTGAGCATTATAAAAATTTAGGTTTGGACGGCAAGTATACCAACACTGATTAACAGGATAACTGATATGTGGAAAAAAGATTACATCTCCCAAAAATATTTTACACAATATACATTTATTATTTCGCTATTCAAATTTTTGTAACGTTAATCTAATGTCAACTTATCTTCAGTCTGATGTCAAACTGTTCTTTAGCCTCTTGTCATTTTTTAATTTAATTAATTGCCCTACTGCTTCTTCTAAAAGAATTGTTTGTCCTTTTGTTCTTGTACCAGCATCATCTCGATTACGAATGTTCACAGAATTTGTGTCCTCCTCTTCAGCACCAACGACTTTTTAAATTTCAAAGAATTAGATCATTGTATCCAAAAAAAAAAAAATGTTTCAAAATATCAAGACCATATCACATACCGAAAATAAAGTTAAACTGAGCCAATTGAGCATTCCTAATCTTTTTGTTCAAAGTACTTTCGCCCAAGTCAGACTCAACGTATAAACCAGCGTTAAAACAAGCATCAACAACTTTTTTAACATAACTACTAAAACTATTGGCAACTGGTATGACAATCACTTGACGAGGCGAAAGCCAGAACGGCCTTTAATAAATAAAGTTGAATGAGATGACAAATTTGTTTGTACAAACATCTGAAAAAAAAATTCTTACCATTTTCCACCAAAATTTTCTGTCAAAATTGCAATCATACGTTCTACAGAACCTAATATCGCACGATGAATCATAACTGGGCGAGCATAAGTATGCTCAGAATCATTAACTGTCTGAGTACGATACTGAAGTTCGAAACGTTCTGGTAATTGGAAATCAAGTTGCAGAGTAGCACATTGATGTTTCCTTTTAATAGCATCTGATACTGTGATGTCAATCTTATGGTAATAATGATAATCATGAAATCTTAATAAATAGATTACACAGAGATTAAACCACATATATGAATTAATTCCTACCTTTGGTCCATAGAATGCTCCATCACCTGGGTTGAATTCCCAAGGCTCACCAAATTTATTTAAAGCATCTTCCAATCTCTTAATATTACCAGAGTTTAAATCATAAATTAGACAGAGAAAGGTTAAAGAAAGAAAAATATTAATTCAGCAAGAAACATCAAACCTTTTCAGCTTGATCCCAAACGTCGATAGTACCCAAGTATTTTTCTGGTCTGGTAGACAATTTAAGTTGAAATGTGAACCCAAAAACGCCATAAATGTGTTTCATAAACTCCAAAGCACCATTAATCTCTTCTTCCACCTATAAATTAAAATAAATAAATTATGAGTTATATATTAAAAGATAAAATTATTATTGATTCAAAAAGTATAACATACTTGATCCTGTCTACAGAAAATATGTGCATCATCTTGTTGAAACCTTCTTACACGTGTAAGACCTGTCAAAGCACCACTTAGTTCATTACGATGTAAAACTCCAAAATCAGCCAATCGAATAGGTAACTCTCTATATGACCGATCCCGGTGTTTGAACATTAAACAATGGCCCGGACAATTCATAGGTTTCAGTGCAAATTTTTCTTTTTCAATTTCAAAACAAAACATGTTGTCCTTATATAAATATATATAAATTAATAAAATATATAATTATTATGACTCATAAATAATCGAGAATAATTGAATAACTAACTTCATAATTTTGCGAATGGCCAGATTGTTCCCATAATTTGGTATTGTATATATTAGGAGTAATCACTTCGTGGTAACCTCGTTTACGATATTCCGACTATAATATATGATATTAACAAGGTATATATTTGGTTAAGTATAAACATACCCTCATAAAACGAGATCTAATATTACTTTTATAAAATCAACTAGGGCGTTGTAAATCCTAGATCCATTTGGAAGAAAGAAACAACTTCCAGGACTCAAGTCATCAAAAAAGAAAAGTTCCTGCTCCTAAATTCATTTATAATTTATATCTTATATAAGCGTACATATTTTGAGTATAAAAAAACATCACATTTAAATTCATACCTGACCAATCTTTTTATGAAATCTCTTAGCAGCTTCGGCAACAAATGTCTTATATTCGGTCATTTGTTTATTATCCGGGAAAGAAATGCCATAAATACGTTGAAGGGAATCATTGTTTGCGTCACCAAGAAAATATGATGCAGAATTCTAAACAAAAAATTGATTTAAGTCTTCTAGTTGAAGATGATTTAAAGAATTACAACTTTCTTCAAAATAAATAAACCTTTGTGATTTCGAATGACTTAATTTTGCCTGTATGAGGAACATGAGGGCCCACACATAAATCAATAAGTGGTCCACAACGATACACGGTGGCAGATGTTCCATCGGGAATCTTGGATTTTATAAGGTAAACTTTATATTGATTATGCTTGAACATTTCTAGTAAATTTTCTTTTGGAACAGCTAATCGTTCAAAGGGTTGTTTTTCCTTTATGGCTTTATTTGCTATGGCTTTGAGAGCTTCATAATCACCTTGGTGTACAACGCTAAATAAAATTATAAATTAGAACAATTGAAAAATTTCAACACATTACTTGAAGAAGTCATACCGGTCTTTGATGCCCATCTCATAATAAAAACCTTCTTCTAATGGTGGGCCGATGCAAAGATGACAACCATAATGACGTTCGCAGGCTTCACCAAGAACGTGGGCACTTGAATGCCAAAATACTTTCTTTCCTAATAGATTGCAATAAATTTAATGAAACTTCCAACATTAAATATAAATGATGATCAATTTATGAAAACTTACTTACCTTCCTCGTGTTCAAAATCAAGTAACTCTAAAGTACAATCAGTCTCAAGCGGTCGAATTAGATCAAATAAAACACCATTAACCTTATATAAAATAAATTGTATAATTTAATATTATAAAAAAATGAAATCAAATCACAATCAATAAAAAATGAAATCATACTTTAGCAATAACCACACGTTCGGACAAGGATTTAGAAATTGCTTTGGCAATGTCCAAAGGAGTAGTCTCCCAAGCTGTTGCTTCTTTTGTTTGACCGTCAGGAAAAGTTACAGTAATCGGAACGCGTGATTTCTCTAAACATTTGCGCAATATAATACCAAAAGTATTCTGTGTTATATCTGAATTCATGATTTTTTTTCGAAGCCCTGTATTCTCTTACTCTTAATTTCCTCCTCGTGTGCAGCCTTCCATGCCTCAAACAACTTAATTCGGTGAGAGAGATACTCTGGTGGAGGATTAAGCTAACAAAAAAGTTTGGTACAAAATTTATCAATAATAGTTAAATCGAAAATTTCTGGGAAGAATAATTACCTCCAAAAGACCCTCGTTACTTGAGACTTTTTTTTTTTTTGCAGCTGAATTAGATTCAGCGTTTTCTACCGTTGATACGTCACTAATAGAAGCCATATTGAATCAATAAGTTTAATTGATTCGCTGATAAAATTCTAGTTTCTGCAACTGAATATAGGCAAAAAAAAATTTTCACGATAAAAATACCGACGATAATCTGAAAGTGAATTTGCTGATTTACTACTGATTAAAAAATTTTTTGTAGAAAACCATTATTAATAATATTAATAATATCAAAATGATAATATAGATGATAATATCTTCTTTTTAAATTTTTATAATATGTAATTATAGTTTACTAGTAGTTTACTATCGAGACAAAAATTTATATTATGCTAATAATAATATATATTTATAACTTACTAATATAAGTATATATAAATGCTTTAGCAACAGAGGTGAACAGAAAAAGAAATCTAAAAGAGAAAAACAGTATGAATATATATTAATCATATAGTATTTCTATATAATTAATATAAATATTATATTATTTTTTATTTTATGATTATTTTATAGTAAAATTTTATATTAATATCAATAATATATATTAAAATAATAATAATAATATAGGTTATAAATAAGATTATATATGGGACATACTGCAACAAAACCAGACAAAGTGAACATTGGTATTATCAAGAATTTCAGGGTTCAAAAATTTAGTTATTTGAAATGTGATTATAATTATCAGTTTTATAATATCCCATTTGTTATCTTAAATAATATGAAGTTAATTTACATCAGATCTATTATGGAATTCAAGAATTATAGCACAATTAGAAGTATTTTAAAAAAGGAACAAAGTGAAAAAATTGCTCCTTATGTTTTCAAAATAAATGATACTCAAACACTTGAAGCTTATCTAAGAAAAGAAAGAATTACTTATGAGATTTATCAAGAAGAAAGAAAAATAATAAATGTTGGAAAAAGAAAGTAGCATGAAGATGCATTATCATCTAATAAAAAGCAAAAATCTTTAAATGGAAAATAATTACCATTTTCTTTAATAGGTGGAATGAATTTCAATTTATACAGAGGAAAATTTTCTCAATTACTTCTTTACTTTCAATCAAGATCATTTTTTAGTCTCTTTGACTTCAATTTGAGCAGTTAATTGCCTATTCTGTTGATCTTTTAATTTACTGTTTTCTTCTTTCAGATGATTGATTTTTTCTTCCAAACTCTTTATCTTATCCAACAACTCTTGCTTTTGCCTCTTATTTCATTCCTTGGATTTCTCTTGAAATTTGATTATTTCTTCTCTTTCAATTTTTAAGGCTTCTTCAATCTCATTTAGTTGTTCTTGTAAGGAGTTTATTTGTCTTTCATAAAAAGTAGACTGACTTATTTCTTCATGAGGTAAGAGAGGAAGTTCCTTCTCTTCTAAATCTTCATTGTTTCTAATACAGTAGCAAACATTCTTACCATTAACAATATCAAAATCTAATTTAGTTTGCAATCTATCACATCTATTGCACTTTGACAATTCATCATCCCAGTACTTTTCTTCACATCTTACACAAACCATGTCATCTGAAATTCATTCTCCAGTTACTTTGCTACGAGATCTTATTTGGTGAACAGATTTATTTTTTTTTGTTTTCAAATTTAGAGCAAAAATCACAAGTTTTTTTACTTTCTTTTTCTAATTCTAAAACTGTGTATTCCAGTTCTCTCATTGTAATTTACTCTTTATTTAGACTTGACTTCTACTTGAGCAATTATTTCTTGGTTGTGGAATTTTTCCTTTTTGATTAATCTTTGTAATTTTTGGAACTTAACTTTTGCTTTTGTTTTTAATTGCTTAAAAATGTTCTGTTTAATTGATAACTTGTTCTCTTTTACAGGTAAAGCAGGTAAGGGTTTATTATCTAAGTAGAATGAATTCTTTAGATTTTCATTTTATGTTTCACTATCAGTTAATTACTTACTTAGTTTTTCTATTTTTTTGCTCTTTTGACTTGATTCTTCCTCCAACTTTTCAATTCAGAATTCTAGATGAGAAATCTTTGCACTAACACTTTTGAGTTTCTTGTTTTTCTCTTTTATGTCTTCTGCCAGATTTTTGCTTCATTTTTTACCAACTGCTATGACTTCCTTAACTTGTTCCTGTTCTATCTTTACTCTTTCTTCTAGCTCTTCTACCTCTGCCTCTAAATCTTTAATTCTTTCAACTTTACTTTTGATAATGTCTTTAAGAATTATATCCTTATAATTTTTAATCTTTTTTCAATTCAGTGGCTAACTCAGTGTCTTCAAAGTAATCTATAATAATTCTCTCAACTACTTTTTCTAGATTTTCTTTACCTTTCCATTTATAGTTGTGCATAAGACTATGTTGAAAACAAATATTCATAAACTGATTTCTTAATGGTTTGCTAATCAATTTCCTTAAATCTTATTTCAATATTCTTACTACAATGAGGAAATATATTTTTCATATTTACCAATATTTGGTGAATTTGATCAATTGTTTCTTGCTTAAATTCTACTTCTTCTTGTTCACTTACTTCTAGATTTTTTAATTCAGTAATTTCTTGTTCTTTATTTGATAATTGCTTTTTCAATGTTTCAATTTCATTGATTAGTTCTTTATTTGCTTGTTGTTGTTCATTTATTATGTTTTTCATGATTTTTGTTAATTATATTCCTCAATTTTTAATAAATACTTAAAGTATATAATTATTTTATTAGTTTATTTTTTTAAATTTTCTATTCATTGTCAGCATAAATTGGTTTTGGACAAGTAACATCTTTAAATTCATTCCTTACAAATGGACGAATATTATTATAAAGGTATTCTTGCCTTTTGTAATCCAAAGGAGGTGGTATTAACACTAAAATAGATAAAGCTTTAATTTCTTCAAAAATATCTGTTCTCCTAATTTTTAATAAATCAAATTCAACAAAAGAACTATTAGCAACTTCTTGAACTTTTACTTAACTAAGATTAGATGCTTCAAAAAGAAAATGTTGATATTGTTGTAAACCATTTAATTTCTTAAAATAAATTTCCAAATAGCTTTAATATCCAAGTATTGAAAACCTTTTCCACCTTCATAACATTGAGCTTTATTTAATCCTGCTGGACTAGACTTTTTTACCACCTCAACCACATGATCCAGACAGTCTACTCTTGTTCTTCTATAGAGTTTTTTAATCATCCCAAAATTGCCATCACATTTGAATTTGGTATGTCCGGAAACCATAAAATTTAATTCAATATTTTCATAATAACCACAAATTACCAAATATAAATAAAACCAAACTGTTACATTGTTTTTATTCTGTTCACCTGCATTATTACAAGTAATCTTTAAATGTTTTTCACCTCTATTCATTTCCTTAATTCCATCAAAAATCATACTAAAGAGTGCAATTATGTCCTTTTCCTATAATTTCATTTTCATTAAGAATATAATTAATTTGTTCCCTTGCTGCTTCATCTTGAATACCAAATAAATGAACTTTACATGGACTAAGGTAATAAATTTTACTTACTTGTTGATCTAAATGAGGTACATAAACATTTTAGACTCAATCATAACTATAATGAGCAGTAGTATCAATACTGCAATATTGTGTTTTACCCTTTGAATATTTTTGGTTAACCAGTTTGCTTTGTTCTTTTGCTAATTTTGTATTTTTATTATAATAATTTCTTTCTACTTTGGCTTTGAATAGATGTTCTTTAAATCTTTTGAGCAAATCTTTAGCTTCTTCTTCTTGGCGAGTATTGTAATATAAATCATCTCTAAAATGTTGACAAGTATCATATAGATCAGTTCTTGGACTCATAATTTGAATTTCTGGTGTTAATTGATGTCATAATTTTCTGAAAGCATCATATTTTAAGGATTTTAATTTGTTATCTTTTTCTAGACCAGCTAGAAAATCTTTGTGGACTGATTTATAACTTATTTCAGCTGGTAAAAATATAATAGATTGGGTTATTCTATTGATACTTCTGCCTGGACTTGGTAATCCATGAACTTCTGCATAATTTTTCAGAAAATTCTTTACTACTTCTGCAACATTTTTATCAATCACCTTTTAGTTTTTCACTGAGGCATTCTTTTAATATTGCCATAAATTCTTGGCAGGAAGCCATTGTTTATCAAATGATTTCTAATATTTTCAAAATAAATCCTACCAATTCCTAACATATTGAGATAAGTTTCTTGACAAAGAAGTGTATTGTGATCCCAATGGTAGAAAGTTCTTTTATTAGATCTAGTTTTCTTTTTAAGGCGTCTACTAGTGCTTATTGATCCACC